GGAAACAAACTGTCTGCACGGTAAACTAACATGTACTCCTTAGTCCTTCGCAGGTACTTGAGTATATGTTTCACCGCAGCCCAATGTTCCCTTCCTGGATTACTTTGATATCTCGCTACCATGCCAACAACGTAGCTAATATCAGGCCTAGTACACAACATTTCATACATGAGACTTCCTACTGCCGAAGCATAAGGAACTGTCTTCATGTCCTCTATCTCCTCAGTTGTCTTAGGAGACAACTCCTTAGATAAAGGTACTCCATGTCTGAAAGGTAATGTACCTCTCTTAGAGTTCTGCATACTGAATCTAGCCAAGACAGTATCTATATATGAAGACAGGAATAAGTACATCATTCTTTTCTCACGATCACGAATGATCTTGATACCAAGAATGTGTCCTGCTTCACCCAAGTCCTTCATATCAAACTGCTTAGACAACCACACCTTTACGTCCGACAACTCCTTCTTGTTGTTGCCAATAAGAAGTATGTCATCCATGTATGGCACAAGAAACACCACCATGCTTCCACTAATCTTCTTGTATACACAGTGCTCATCCGGACATTGGGTGAATCTATATGACTGGATTACCTCATCAAACCGAATATTCCAAGATCTTGAAGCTTGCTTCAGTCCATAAATTGACCGATTAAGCTTACAAACTAAGCGCTCATGCCCTCTTGCAATGAATCCTTCTGGTTGCTGCATATAGATGTCTTCCTGAAGGTTCCCATTAAGGAAAGTCGTCTTAACATCCATCTGCCAGACTTCATAATCCATATGAGTGGCTACAGCTAAGAGAATCCGAATGGATTTAAGCATAGCTACTGGCGAAAAGGTTTCATCATAATCGATACCCTCATTTTGGGTATAACCTTTCGCAACAAGCCTAGCTTTAAAGGTTTCCACCTTTCCATCCGATCTCCTCTTTCTCTTGTAAACCCACTTTCATCCAATGGGATATATCCCATCGGGTGGTTCTACAAGATCCCAGACCTGATTGGTGTCCA